ACACACACACACACACAGCAGATGGCCTTTGGCTCCGCTCGGCTGTTCTGCTTTGTCACTTCAAAGCGTTGTGAAGTATTTTCATGTAGATGCGTTCGCTCCCTCACAGCCTCAGTGTCTCTTTTCATGTTGCGACCAAAGCTGCTTATTTGTTTGTTTGTTTGCGGCGCTGCTCCGTTGTGCTGATGTGGAAGTGATTGTTAGCGCTGAAAAACACAGTGTGTGTTTCAGCGCTGAGTAATAGAATAATGTGAGGGGGTGAAGACCCACAGAGCAGCAGGCTTCACATCGCAGCTTCGCTTCTACTCGTGTTTGAGCTCTAACGTGTCTGTTACAGTCTCATCTGATCGAGCTCCAAAATCCTTTACAAAGCAGATGTGGACCAGAGAAGCAGACACACACTCTGCACACAACATGAAATTAAAAGACAAACGCACAGATTAAAAACATTCAGACGTTTTCATATAAAACACTGAAACACAGACTCAAGAGATTTGACCAAAGCTTTTAACTCAACGTTCAGTCTGTGAATGATTCAACACATCAGGTGCAGAGAAAAGAGAAGATTCCGTCCTCAGGTCAGTCGAGACTTTGAAAACAAAATGTCCAAAGAACGAAGAAGAGGATCTGAAATCTACTGAAATTATAAAAGTAGAAATGTGTTTGTGTGCAAATCAAACTGAGACTCATCAAATAAAAAACTAAATTAATTTAGTTCATTAAAGTGACGAGCCTGTTTAAAAAATGTGGCGTAAAAGTCAAAAGTATTTGTACTTATATTTGTAGTACTCTGTCCTCGTCCCCTCCTCGGAGCGACTGTTTCCTCTGGCAGCAGCAAACACAACCTTCACAAGCCTCCGGACACAAAAGTCATTTCAGCTTCAGAGTGTTTATATTTCCTGAAACCTCGAGTCTCAGCAGCTTCGACCAGACTCTTCATTATTCTTCTAGTCACACGTTGTTAAAAACAGCTTCAGCTGCTGAGTTGGGAAATCATCGAACTTAGTGCAAACTAAGATAAATTCTCGTAAAGGTACGATCCTTCGTCAACCACGTACGAAAACAGATTCATCTGTTTCAATCAGCTGCTCACGTCATATTGATCCTGTAGAACTCCCAAACTATTGGCTGCACTGCCCCCCCATGGTTTCTGGTGGTACTGCTCCATTCAGTCTTAGCTCATTTAATAAACTGCAAATAAAATCACCTTTAGCTAATATGTGTTTATGCTAACGTCCCCAAGTTCTGTACGAAATCTATAGAAAAAAGTTTTAAAAAATTATGTGAAGACAAATGATGGAAATATCTAAGGGGAGGAGCATCGAAAGACTCTGAACCTCTCGTGTGTTTTCAGGCATCATCAAGCTGCGGAGGAGTCCGCCTCCCAGGCTGCGAGGACCTCAGTACGTCCTCAACATCACCGCCACGGACGACAACGCGTCCGGCGGCCCGTACCCACTCAGCAGCTCCACCCAGGTCATCGTGGGAATCAACGACATCAACAACAACAAGCCGGTCTTCCAGGAGGTGAACGAATCTCTTCTTCTCGTCCAGTTTATTCTCAGTTTATTCTGCAGCTACTCAAGCGTCTCAAATCTCAAATCGTCCTCTCAGTGTCAGAACTACAGCCTGAACGCCGCCGTCCTGGAGAACCAACCGCCCGGGACGTTTGTGCTGCACGTCCAGGCCCACGACGCCGACATGGGGGTCAACGGAGAGGTCAAATACGGCATCATGCACAGAGACGGAGTGTCGTCAGGTTTTGACATTGATCCCGACACAGGTGAATCTTCGTTTTCATTCTGGTGCTTCCGTCACATGGTCACATGACAAGTGTAACCGTAGCAACCTGTGTGTGTCAGGTGTTATCACCACGGCGATGAGTTTCGACAGAGAGCGTCAGAGGGAGTTCACGCTGTCGGTGACGGCCACAGATCAGGCCGAGGAGCCGCTGATCGGGATCTGTCCGATCACCGTGCTCGTCTCCGACCAGAACGACAACGACCCCAAATTCGAAAACAGCCGTTACCAGTGTGAGTCTCAGTTACTAGGATTACTATTACTAATACTAATACTAATACTAATACTATTACTGCTACTGTTACTAGTACTATTAGCACTGGTACTAGTGTGTGTGTGTGTGTGTGTGTGTGTGT